TATTAGAATCTCAATGATTCTCCGCAACCATCATCACTAAAATCACATGTTCACATCTTTTTGCAAAGCGCAATAATTCAAGTATTTAAATAAACTATTAATCTTAATAAATATTTACAATTTAATTTTATTTAATCGCATCAAGTTAGTGTTGAGTAATAGAACTTTTGTTAACACTTCCATTAAATTTCATCAGTATTTATTAAGCAAGCCATTAAATTTCACGAATGTACGAATGTTTTACTATTTAACTTCAGTTTATTTGGGTTAATTTAATGTAAATTTAAATATACTTATAATCTAACATTTAATAAGCATTAAATTTATAAATGCATTCAAATTTAAGAGTTATATAAATAATGTGATTCTTATGATAAAAAATTATTTATTAGTAGAACCTATTACAGTCTGGAAAGTGTATCCGATCATAATGCCGTAAATTGTTAAAAGTTACGGCAAAAATTTAGATTTGATACAATTTCAAAGCACGCTTTTTAAATCTTATATAACACATCCCTCTGTTGTTGCACAGTGCGACGCCCAAAGTTGGGGTGCAATATTTGTGTATAAGAAATTAACTTTATTAGAGATGCTGTACGAACAAGTCATTACACTCTTCCAGAGAATGATACATTATACTTATCGTTATGTCTATAAGCACAATTTAAACATTATGAGATAAGAGAATCAAAAGTATATTTACAAAATATGTACGATAATGTAAGTAATGATAATGTAGTAATGATCTACATAACGATGACAAATACAGAAATAAGCATATGAAAAAATTTTGCTCAACAGCTATTGCAATTTTCACGTTACACTTATCTGGAGAACTGATTGGTAGAAGATTTTCATTGTTAACTAAATTGTCAACGATCGCTATAAAATCAAATTTAACCTTGAGTCGTACGTACATAAATGTTGTATTTCTTAAAAAAAAATTAAATTTCAAGATGTCACGAACGAAAACTCCTGGCTTGGTAGAAGAGACATTTCCATTTATTGCTAATCTGAATGAAAAAGATACCCGAAATTATAAAACTTATGATATTCCTTCAACGGTCGATTCCCGACCTAATATATCGCAAGCCAACCCTTTAACCCGAAAAATTTCAATCTGTTTAGGTATTCTTAGTTTATTGGCATTACCAGTTTTACTTTTTTACAATTTTGGCGATTATGACGATGTTACGAGAATCCCTAAACGCTATCAATTATGCAGAGACAATTATGATATTTTTGATTACACTATCGAATCATCTTTTTTTGCATCAAAAAATAATGAGTTAACTATGATTCAGGATGTCAATTCTTTGACTCAAAATTTTACCCTGAATTTGAATGCATCTTCACCAAACGTTACCTTTTCACGTATGACTTATGCAATGATTAAACAATTTGATAGACAACTTGGAGAATATCAAATTCAAGAATTTTTTTATCAAAATAGTGTAGTTTATTATGATTCGCCAGTAACGTCAGGTTCTTACATTAAAAACACTTGGCCTATAATAGTTGAAATTTCTTTCAAGGCTTCAAAAAAAAGTCTTAATTCATCAGCAGTAGAAGCATGCAATTTTAGGTTTGTTTTTGTTAAAAAGGATTTCTTAAATGATTTTGATGGGTATATTGAACGAAGTTGCAGTAGAGCTAGAGAGTATAATTTTTATTTGGTCTCTCAAGTCAAAGGAAATACTGATTCGGGTTTGAAGTTTTTCCAAGGTGAAATTATGTTTGCGACTGTTTCTAACAAGTCACTAAATAGAGAAATGAGGTAAATGTTAGCATTATTTCAATATGTATTTATACATTAATTTATTAAGTTTGCGTCCTTTCTTAGAAATGTTGTGGTTGAAGATGATGCTCCATTTCCATCACTAATTCCTGCCTTATACGCTATTTATTATGACTACTTTAAGATGAAACGCCAAGCACGTGATATCACTAGAATTCCGAATAATTATCAATTGTTAAGAGATAAATTGAATATTAATGATTATGAAATCCAATCAACATCTCTCATTTCTCCTTATAATGATATCAATAACACCTCGTCCACTATTAGGGCTATAATAAAAGCAATTAAATATCCATCTGGAAAATATTCTGTTCGAGAATTTTTTTATGAAACTGGTGTTAAAAATTATCCATACACATTAATAACAGCAAACTCGACAATTCAAGATAAATGGCCTGCGATTGTAGAAATTTATTTTACTAGTTTGGGAAATTATTTGGACCCATTCTCTTTGGAAGTTTGTAATTATAGACTTGCGTTTTTTAAAGAAGGTTATGAAGAAGATATTAAGGGTCATATAGAACGTAGATGTCCCAAAGCATCCGAATCCAACTTTTATATAGTTTCAAAGGTTGAAGGAAACAGTAATGTAGGTTTCAAATTTTTTATTGATGGAAATGAATTTGCAACTGTTTCATCAAAGTCGCAATGCCGAGAAAAAAAGTATGTATTTAACAATACTGAATATAAGCAACCCTTGTACAATTTTTGTAAAAACCTAGTGATTGGATCTGGTTACTGTTGGAATAATATTAAAAAATTACCCAGATCCAATCACTGGACATACTGTATACTTATATTAATATAATTTCCTTTCATATTTATTATTTATAGAGATATTGTTGTTAACGATAATTCACCATTCACATCACTTATACCTGGATTATATACAATTTATCACGATTATTTAAAACGAAAAAGTCACGCACGAGATATCACAAGAATTCCAAACATATATCAATTGCGTTGGAATAGTTGGTATCAGTACGATTACAATTATGTCATCGAATCAACAGTTTATCCTCCCTTTATCACATCAGATATATATGAATCGAATATGACCAGCAATAATAATAGTTCTTCCAAACAAAATGACTCCTTGTCATTAAATGATGATAAAAATTCAAGTACTATCCGAGCTATTATTAATGCTGCTCATTATGAATCAGGGTATTATGAAGTTCAAGAATTCTTTTACAAACCCGGTTCTCAAGACTATTATGATTCTTTAATAACTACAAAAGTTATTTTAAATAGTTTACTACCCGGAATTGTTGAAGTTTCTTTCACTACTTCTGATAAAGTTTTAGATCCGTATGCTTTGGAAGCTTGCGAATATAAACTTATTTATTTTAAGAATCTTGAAGGTCAAATCAAACGTAGATGTAAAAGAGCTTTTGAAGATGATTTTTATATGGTTTCACAGGTTAGCGGAAGTACTTATTGGGGTTTGAAATTCACTCTTGGAGATGATGATTCGAAATTATCTGCATCAACTTCTGCTGTGTATTATTGGCCAAGCCGGCGTAGAAGGTAAAAATCATTAAAATTTTTTTACTATCTATTTATACTTATATAAATATAATTTTTTTAATTTTGATTCTGTATTGATATCATTCTTAGAGACGTAATGGTCTATGATGATACACCATTCCCATCTATTATCCCTGCTCTATATTCTGTTTATTATGATTATGTGGCTAAAAATAAATAAATACAATTAACTTTTACGTGTAATTCATTGGAACTAGACTTTTGCAACATGCATTAAGGAAACAATTAAAAAAATCAACCAAATATTTGGGCAAAATTTGCACTCAGGGAGATTGCTTTTAAAGAATGTTGACTATTAATTTGTCATACAATAAAAAATTGCTATTTTTGTTTACAGTATATTTGTCCAAATAATCTTAAATATGTTTGCCCAAAAAACATTTAGTAGATTGATGATGTCAGTATTTTGTATTACAGAATAATGGTATTTAGTGATGTCCGTCCGAATCGAATCAATATCATCCGATTGTAAACGAAGTCACAGAGCGGTACATTATTGTGAGTCACTGAACTTTCCATGAAACATTAAGCCAATGGACTTGTTCATGACAAAATGGTATTTGAATAAACTGATGATCTGTTTGTTCTCTTTGCCTTTGAATTTTCTGCTCGACATTGTGTCCAACCTTCTTACTACACCACAAAAAAAAAAAAAAAAAAAAAAAAAAAAAAAAAGCATATACAATTCTCGAAAAATCCTGCTTACGTGATATCCTGCGACTTGTTCGATGACCCTAATTAATTACGACCGTTGTAGTGAAGTTGCAGCTTTTGGTGGTAATGACGTCGGTAGTAACTCTAGTCGTATTAAAATACTATGCCGTTGCCGTAATTCGTAATTCTTGCAGTATGTAGTATATTATGCATTAGACCATAATTTTGGTGATAATAGATTAAATAATATATGTAATAGTTATTTCAAGTTTTATCACAGATATCATTAAACATCACGGATTAGTCGAGATATTATGCTTTATTTCCAGTACTTATTTATACTTCCGCACTATTTTTTCATGGTAATTATCCGGATTCCAGATTCGGGCTAGATCCGGAATGTTATATTTCTTTTTGTTATTTATCTTTTTTATTGATATAACGAATTTTTTAAATTATTGAAATTGCTAAAGTGGTACTGACAAGGTCGGCAGCTCCCAGCTTATGATCGGAGGGAACAAATTCTCAGAAAGTTGAGGATCCAATGTGAAGCAAATTAGCTGCTTAGGCGGGTCGCACCTGGGCATGTAATGCTGAGTGAGTCTTTATTAGTACAGGATTTTAGTATAGAATTGTATATTTGTAGCAAATATAAATTTTGATACTTCTGATTGAAATAATAAAGGCAGGATCGCCAAAAAAAAAAGAAAGAAATTGCTAAAGAAAAGTAAAAGTTGTTTGCCAAAGAAAAAAGGAAGTAGACTAACTCTTCCCGACGATCACTTGTACCAAATTTTTCTTAAAAACAATTGCTATTCTCTCAAAATTTTATTAAGTA